TGCGATCACCAAAGTTAAACAATGTCGTGCCTGGTCAATAACTCGATGGGTGACCGCTTGGGAATACCAATTGCTATAAGCTTGGGTGTCGGGTTGTATAATAGATAGAGAGACGGTTACAATTTCAGCCGGCTTATTTATATTCACTTATACACAAATACTCTTAGGAAATGAATGAACCCACCTAGTCTCTCTCCAGCTATAGGTCCATTAATCGGATGTGCATGCATAAATTATTATTATTTAAAAAGAAATTCACAATATAAGTATATTTTCTAAATTTAAATAACCTGCAAAAGGCTGATAATCAGTAAAACACAAATCAGTCACGTATAGACTCAGATTTACACCTATATTCACCTCACCCACAAACAAATATAGGTTTATAAATAAATGGTGGCGTAATGGTTAGCGGCTCGGATTGAGGAATCGGAAGGCCGAGTTCAAATTCAAGTCGAATACACTACATTCACATACGAGTTAATACCATTGGGAAAGGTATGAAACCTCTTTTGCTAGTCCCCACCGCCGCAGCTATGGGTAAATAACAGGACAGGCTGGATTCTATAGCCATGCATGGACATTGGTCTACCGCAGAAAGAAATGGCGGGAAAAATCTGCCTCGGCAGTCATGTATCGAAAGATACATGATCGCCTAAGCGTGTATCACGCATGGTACATAACGGACTTATATAATAAAAATGATTTCAAGTGTTGTCATTCATAAAATCAACGAACACAGTCCCATCCTAACTTTATTTTTATTTAACACACAGCCATATGTCTTGGTCACCACTCCTAATGAACTTTGCTATGAACAAACTAGCTGACGCTCAGCAGTATGGACGCTCTTATGGGGTAGCATTTACAACCATATACTTGATCTTTACTCCGTGTGCGTGTATGCCTGCAAAGATCCTTTGTTGTCAGGAGAACGCCTGTCGATACATACTCTTATTGTTTGAGTGTCGGTAATTAACTTAGATCTATTTTATAGGAATTCTGTCTTGTCCAGTTTGCAAAAAATCCCCAGGACTCTGGCAATTTATACGAAAACGTCTTGAGATCGATAGACTTTCATTTGGCTAAGGGAAAGCAAAACCATGTGGGTTAGCGCCACTTGATATAATAAAGACGTAGTAATTGCTGGCTGTTGTTTCAAGCATATTTTATATTGTTACAGAGTGGTTCAAGTAGGTGCTAAGAGTGAAATGTATTGTTGGTTTATTCTCTCGAGGAACGACACGGTGGCTTCGGGCTGAACACGGCAATGTAATCTAATACATATTCTCATTTCATGCTGGCAAGTAGAGCTAAGTTATAATCTGGCCTGCTCGTTTTTAACTTAGGTTTATATATATGTATGTGTGTGTGTGTGTGTGTGTGTGTGTGTGGTGTGTGTGTGTGTGCGCTTTTACATCATATATATATATATATATGTTTACATTATATGTATATATATATATATATATATATATACATGCGTTTACATTATATATATATATATATATATATATATATATATATATATATATATATATATATATATATAAAGGAAATATGTTGTAGTGGTTCCAACGAGAGAAAAGTATGTATATTAAAAAAGAAGAGGGTGCCGCAAACGTTTTTGGTTGTAATGTGGATTTATTGAGAAAAAATATTATACTTTGTTTTTACATAATTTCACGACACGTGTTTCTGGTCTGGTCTCGCAACCGTCTTCAGGTGTTTTTCTCAATAAATCCACATTACAACCAAAAACGTTTGCGGCACCCCCTTCTTTTTAATATATATATATATATATATATATATATATATATATATATATATATATATATAAGAAAATGTGATAGATACATTTCTATTTAGCAGAACAATGTTAGGCAAATTAATGACAAAGTCGAAAGAAGTCAAAACAAAGTAATAATATGCTAAAACTGGAAGAAGGAATTTAGTCCATAATCTGTAATGTTTGCTACAAGTAATACACAGGAAAAACCTCATGGAACGTATATCGAATATTATATGAAAAGAAGAGAGACATTTTACAAAACAAAACAACTGATGTATTAGTCACTCTCCATAACGAGCCTTACCATTTAAAAATGTACTACTGCAATTTAAAGTGGAAACAATTTACTAAGAGGATAGTTTTATATAAAGTCCTTTCTGTGTCACATCAACCGCGTAAAATTTGTGTCCCTGTTCTTACAATATCTCAACTTAATTTTCAAGTCTTCTTTTATCACAGGTTGGGATCGTCGTCTTCAGTGTATCGTGACCCTTCAGCACATAGGCGATCATGTCTTCTGTCTTTTGTAGGTCTTTATAAATTTTGTCATTTTGTTATCTCACCTAAAACTTGCTTCGCCATCAATTGTCTCAAGTTCTCTAAGTAGATTTTGCGTTGTTTTCCTCTGTCCCTCTTGCAGTCAATCTGCCCTGCGAGTATCAAATTTTCCAAACGCACTTTCTACCTCATAAATAAGCTATAAATTTCAACTAACTCTTCATGAAGTTACGTATTCTTTTGGTTTCCCTTTTTCTATACAACTTCGTCATTGCTCACGTGTTTATTCCGTGGTATTCTCAGCACCCTTCTACAGAACAACATTTTTGTTACTTTAAATAATTTCTTCATCTGTGAGGAGATTGTTCAACATTCACTACCATATACGAGGACTAATTCTTTAATGAAATTTGTTTGCCAAAGCTTTGCATTGCTTTTAGAACGCATCATTCTCTATACCAATGCGCCTTCAGATTGCAGTTTGTCACTTTCCGACCTCTGTTAAAACATTTCCTCGAAATTTAAATCGCTGTACTTGTTTGATTTTGGAATCTCCAATTTGTAATTTGCATGTTGGGTCCGTTTTGCTAGTAACCATGTCTTCTTAGAATTGAGGTTTTGTCGTTACTTCGCATTAAATTCCACTACCTTCTGTTGCAGTTCTTGCATTTTCCGTTCTTTGTCTACTATCAGTACTAAGTCATCTGCATATCTTACGTTGATAAAAACCGTCAATATAAATCCTGCTGGGATATCTAATTCTCTCAGAATCGCCTCACTGTAAAGGTTGAATCCAGTGCGAAAAAAAACGTTCTTGTCTTACACCACTTCCTATTTTTCTATATTTACTGAACACAGTTTGTATTCGTATGCAGCTGGATAGCAATTAATATAGTTTCTGGATTATTCTAATATCCTTCCCGGATCAAGGTTACGTAGTATTTACAACAGTTCTTTACGAAATACCTTATCAAATGGTTTTGTATATATATATATATATATATATATATATATATATATATATATGTAAAACACATGTATGCATGCGTATGCATTGTATCTCTCTTTTTTATATCATTTTGAGGATAAAAATCGCATTCCTTGTTCCAGTGTCTTTAATGTACCCGCACTATTTATATCCTATTTTCGATCTGATTTTGTTTGCACGCTCCATTCATCAGAATTCGGATGATATTTTTGATATAGCTGATTTTCCTTTGGATTTACCATTCCTTTGCTTCTTAGATCTAAATATGTCTTCTGGAATATCAGCACGGTTGTATATTTTATTTATTGTGTTTGTAATCTTGTCAATGATGTAATACTCAAAAACTGGAGACTGCCAGTCCATCTGGTGGTGCTGCCTTTTTTTTCAGTTTGACCAGTGCTGGGGGAGGGGAAAAACGGAAAAAAAACAAAAACAAAGAGAAGGAAAGCTGAATGAGAATGACTAGATTGCCTGTACAGACAGATCTAAAAAATTGAATTTAAAAATGTCAGCCGATGCGTAAACGTCCCTAGCGTTTTTATATATCTCCGCCAGCGCCTGATATACATATATAATTCCATCGATAAAACGGCAAAGAACGACGAAGAGAAGGTGATTTATTCAAATTTAAGACAAATCGAAAAAATCTATGTATCACATTCCGACATATAGAATGACATAATGGCATATATATATATATATACGGAGAGAGAAAGAGCGACAAAGAGAGAGTAATTTACTCAAATTCATGACAAATCGAGAAATCTATCGCTCTCCTCCCCTCTCTCCCCCCTCTCTCTCTCTCTCTCTCTCTCTCTATATATATATATATATATATATATATATATATATATATATATATATGCCCCTCTTCCGACTTCATCACGGCATGCAATGAAAGCGTAATGTTTTGTAGCCATAGTTACATCAAATCCAAAAATTTGAAATATATACATATAGATATATAAGTGTGTGTTAATTGATTTATTTGTTTGTTTTTTTTCGGTTTATCAATTGTTTGTAGGTTATTTAAAGCCAGAAACATTTTTTTTATTATTTTAAGAATTTTATTTTTTCGAATTAATAATTATGTGCAATTCCGGATCGTCCTACGTTTCACCACACGTACATCCAAGCCTACAGCACCTGGTATTTACAAGCGGTCACCCATCTACATACTGACCAGGTTCTACGTTGCTTATTTCGGTGATCGTGTCGATGTTTCAGTGGAATATGGCAGAAACACACACACACACACACACACACACACACACACAAATATATATATATATCGAAAAGAGGGCTCGATACCAAGAGTAAAGCAATAATTATTTATTATAATTTTAACATACGGATAAAACAACTTGCTCACTACAAAGATGCATTCTTGTTTCGATGCAGCTGCGTCTCGACTATTTTTTGGGTTCTCATCATCGCATCGAAATGAGAATGCATCTTTGTAATGAGCACATTGTTTTTCTCCGTATGTAAAAAGTATAATATATATATATATATATATATATATATATATATATATATATATATATATATATATATATATGATATAAGAAATGAAGGGATAATTTAAAAAAGAAAAAAATGAAAATGTGGCCTTGATAAAATTAACAGTTTGGGAATGAATGATAGATTGATAATTAAAAATAAAAAATTAAATGAATTATTGAGAAAATGTGAAAGAAACAAAGACACTATTGAGAATACTTACAAAGAAAGAAAGAAGGAAAGAAAGAAAGAAACAAACAAACTATCGATAATAATTAGAAAGAGAAATAGAGAAAAAATCAAAGAAAGAATCGAGAATAATTCGAAAGAAAGAAAGATAAACAGAAAAAAGTAGTTGTATATAAAAACTATCAAGAATGAAAAGAAGAGTGAAAGACAAATGGCGAAGACGAAGGATGGAGCGAAGAAAAAGGAACGTAGAAAAAAAAAAAACGAATCCAGGAAATGAAGAACAAAGAATAAAAATTTTCTTAGAAGCAACGTAAAATTAATTAACGAATTTAATAGGAATCTAAAAAGAAAAGAAAGAAAGAAAAAGAAATACAGAAAGAAAGAAAAAGAAAAAGAAAAGAAAGAAAGAAAGAAAGAAAGAAAGAAAAAGAAAAGAAAGAAAGAAAGAAAGAAAGAAAGAAAAAGAAAAGAAAGAAAGAAAGAAAGAAAGAAAGAAAGAACGAAAAGGCGGCTAAGAAGAGAAAAATGAAGAATATGAGGAGATCTATCTGCAGGTCATATTTCTGTCCCATTACACCTTTTACAATGCAGACCTTGAAAAAGCTATTTAACACACACACACGAACACACACACACACACACACACACACACACATATATATATATATATATATATATAGCGAGACACAGAGAGCGAGAAGGGGGAAGAGGGAGAGAGAATGAAAGAGAGAGAGACGAAAGAGATACATGTGTGGGTTTGCGTATATACTCGTGTGCAAATTAAACATAACGCTGCTAATGCTAACGCTGGATGAAAATAATTGCGGCACGGAGAAAATTATTTGATCAGTTTTAATAGCGCTGTATCAAATAAACACCGTGTAGGGGAAGGAAATTAAAGGAAATAATTTAATCATGTCGACAATTGTATTTGATGCACACGCTCCATGAAAGGAGAAAGAAAAGATTCTGAAGAGTGGCAAGTCGAAGCAATACTTTATTTAAATAAAGGAAGATACGATAACATTAGAAATATTAACATAGTATGGCGCTACGATACATATATAGAGCACTCTTATAACCAATCTTTCTTTTCCGTTAACTCAACATGGCGCCATGCTCCACCACCATCATCATCATCATCGTCGTCATCATCATCATCACCATCATCATCGTCATCATCACTCATCATTATCAAAAGAACTGCACAAAAACTGATATGTCCACTCCATACACCTGGGTTAAAATTCCAAGTATTCATTCATGCCTATCCTCTCTTCGACAAGTAAACCTGGCGGAACCCATTCCCCTCTAGTCACCTTCACACAGACGCAATGTGGCTTCCGCTCTGACGCTCTTTTTTCCCTGCTGCCATGACTGCTTGAATTTAAGCGTGCAACTAGATTGGCACCTAGATCCCACCGTTTTACTGTTGAAATAGTTAAATATAACCGCCACTTTTACTACTCCGACAGTTTCTTTTCTCGCACTTCCCGATTGTGGAACTCCCTTGCTCTTACTTGCTTCTCTGATAACTACGATCTTCAAAAATTTAAATCCAGTGTTGACTCGAACCCTGTTCATCTTTTATCCTTTCATGAATCTCCACTATACCCAGTCTTTTCTCTCACTTTCACTCTCTGTAACCCCTTCAGTTTTAGTGAGACGCCTGCCTTGCTTGGGGCAAAAAGTTTTAAAAAATAGTTAAATACACACCCATTGTCCACCATGTAGCATGCTCGCCCTTGTCACGGATATTTTTTGATGATTCTGTCACGATAACCCTCCGTTCTGGCCGTAGACGAATCCTTTCGCCCTGCGATGCCCTGTCATCACCGAATTGGATGCATACATAGCTATGGAACCCATTTTATTTTATTGGCTAGATGGTTGTTGTCCTACAAGAAGAGTCTTCCACGATTTCACAAGATTTTAATCTCACCTGCCCTCCTTACTAGAATATTACTGTCGGGTAAATGATATAATCACCGATGACGCGACCGTGTTGTGGATAGTACCGTGTTTTATGGTAGGAGTAGAGCGAGTAGACATAATGAATTATAAAATTACAAGTGCATCTATGACAACTATTATTAGCCTTCTTATCTCGAACACTAATCCACGATGTTGGGAGATCAATTCTCATGCATGCTTAACTCTAAATAACAGTTTTGCGAAACCAGAACTCTGGGTTCTTCGGAGATAAACTCATTAGTTTTCTAATATTTCACGAAAATGTTTTGCTAATTATTACGCTTTATGATTAATACTCATTCAGTTGAAATATTCTTTGTATTTACTAAGTTGAATATTGCCCAAACTGAGGATTCCCCGGAGCGACACTCATTAGAGTTATATTATTCAATGAAACTTTTTTTTTAAATTGTTAGAACTAATCATTAACAGGCTTCCAACAGAAAAATCTTTGCATTTACTAAAGTGAGTATAGACTCGCACAAGGTTGAATTGTTAGGTTCTCCAGCGAGGAGATCTATAGTGTTGTAATATTCATAGAATATTTTATATAATCATTAGAATTAAACGATTTTGATAGAAATAATGGTGTTTACTGAGTCGAGCGTAGTTTAGCACAAGGCCAAATATTTGGGCTCTCCGTAGAGTAACTCAATTGTTTTTTGTAATATTCAGCGAAGCTTGTTTTATAATTATTAAACTTAATTATTAATAAATAATTATTAAACTACATCACTACTACGCTTTCACTTGAGGTATTTTTGTATGTTTACTGAACAGAGCATAGTGTAGGGTCCTCGCTGACGATCAGCTTCATTACCGTATTTATAATTAGCTGATTTCTTAAACATTTAACCTTGTGAAAGTGCCTCCAATGGGAAGAACATGAGAACTCAAGAAAAAAAAAAGCTCTTCAGAAAGATAATTGCAAAGATACCACGTAAAATATCGGTAATGAGTTTTCGCTTTTTTTCGCTCGGGATATTCAGAAGATAGTATAAGCGACTGCTTGGTCTCTTCTTATGATCCATTACAGATAATGACATTATCGATAAAATCCTTTGAACTGTAGCCTGATTTTTTCAACAGCACAAGCAGCAAGAATAATGTCAGAAAATGTTCATACAAAGAGCGTGACATTGGAATATCTAAAGACGATCACTAAGGTAATAATGACAATATCGGATCGTGAATTAGAAATCAAAAAGCTATCATATCAGAAATGGCTGGAGATTTAGATTAGAATGACGCATTCATTATAACGCCGTCCGTTGAGTTGGGTGATACGTACGATTCTAATTGGGTCGGTGATGATATTGACCGACTAGCTGATTGGATTAACGATAGAGGCGTTAATGATGATGTAAAGGTTAAAGGATCATGGCGGGGAAAGATAGAAAGGGAAGACGACAGATAACTGTTTTAGATGTTGATTTTTCAATGGAAGTAACATGATGAGGATGTTGACGATGAAGAAAGAGCGGCAAAGTCACCGAAAAATAATCAGGCTGACAATTTTGACAAGACGTTAAGGAAAACAGTGACATGTTTATCTCGCTGAGTTCTCATCACTTTGCATGCTAACCTGACAAATATTTACTACTTTCGTAATACAGTAAGTATGCCGCCTAAATGATTTCATAAGGGTTGAATCATTCTTTGATACCATTAAATTTTATTAACTCCAATAACTTCTTTAAGGCTTACAATCCTTTCAGCTTAAACAAGGCAATAAAGCCATTAAAACGTACGATGTTACTGAGTGTGAAAGAATATAAGAAAAAAGAAAAACATTCTTAAGGAGAGAGAATAATAAACGAACACGAATTAAGACTACAAAAAATAACAGTTAGCATTACATTTAAATTTTTGAAGAGCAAACTTGGCTGGAAAGTAAGAAGTGGGAACAGAGTCCCACAAGCGAGTAGTGTGATAGAAGAAAGAGTTATCATAGAACTTACAGATAGATCTAGCCATTTCAACTGTAAAAGGATGAGATCTTGCCATCGATCGAGCACTGTGCATAAATTAATAAAATCTAGATATCATTGAGGAGTGTCATCATAACTATTACCATGAAAGTATTTATAGAAAAGGCACAGGGAAGCTATAATATGGCGGTGGGAACATGACTGAAGCCGAGATGCCAAGTCAGAACCAGTGACATTGTTGATTCTTCTTTACATTTTGTCAAGGATCTCTAAATATATAACAGGAGTACCAGACCATATGCAGCAGCGATATTGGAAGGATGGGCGAATGGTAGACGCATAAATATGTAAGATAAATTCGTCCGACTAAAATTATCTAGCACGACACAGTGAAAGAACTTTCCTACCAGCAGACGTAACAATAACAACTCTCAGTGGAGTGTTTGTACGGAGCACAAGAACCCTCTTGTCCGTCATCTGGAAACTTGTATTTTCGCCTGCGGTGTGTGAGAGACTGCCCACAATTCACAAGGTTGGTTGTTTTTATATCTATCTGTCGGACCGTCTTTCTCGCTCGTTCCCTCCAGTTTTTCACTAATTCCGGTCACCACTAACAACGCATGAGCCTCGGATCTCTAACTTTCAAGTTTAAAACTAAATTGAGTGAATGCAAATGTCCAAACCTGCAGAATCCTGCCCTAAGTTTGCAAACATCCGACCAGACATTTAGAACCTCCCATTTCGACCATCTTTCCAAATTTTGACCAAAATGACTTTTATCAATTAGAGTATTTCTTCTTGATCCCAACAAAAAGACTTGGGCATCCCCACGTATAATACCGTGTCTTACTATGCTTCAAGTAAGAGATATCGCTATGAAAGCTGGTTATTTATATAATAAATAATATAATTGTCGATGAGATACCAAAAATAACATATCAGGTTCGTTTAACAAAGACTATGCTTTTCGATATAGTAACTGAAAACCAATCCTACAAATACAGAAAAGTTGTCATAGAAGTTTCAGCAAGACATCTATTTTCTGAAGTTGTTTTTGTTATTTTGGTACATCCACTTGAATTTCTTACTCGAGAATAGTTTCTTAGAGAAACATTTGAACAATCTTGTAATGTTTATATTAATAATAATAATAACAACACTGATAAAATTAATTCAACAAACTTGCTAGTCTCTTTACATTTCTGAGATGATGTAGTGTAACTATTTACACTATTTACATTGCTCGGTCTGTTGTCTTCTTCTTTATTGCCATATTCAAGAGGTATCGGCTGTTTTACGCTCTGGCCTTCTTCAGGATCTGGTCATATTTCTGAAAAGAGGTATTGTAATTATTTACTCTATTTATATTGTAACTATTTACACTATTTACATTGCTCGGTCTGTTGTCTTCTTCTTTATTGCCATATTCAAGAGGTTTCGGCTGTTTTACGCTCTGGCCTTCTTCAGGATCTGGTCATATTTCTGAAAAGAGGTATTGTAATTATTTACTCTATTTATATTGTAACTATTTACACTATTTACATTGCTCGGTCTGTTGTCTTCTTCTTTATTGCCATATTCAAGAGGTTTCGGCTGTTTTACGCTCTGGCCTTCTTCAGGATCTGGTCATATTTCTGAAAAGAGGTATTGTATTTATTTACTCTATTTATATTGTAACTATTTACACTATTTTACATTGCTCGGTCTGTTGTCTTCTTCTTTATTGCCATATTCAAGACGTTTCGGTTGTTTTACACGCTGGCCTTCTTCAGGATCTGGTCATATTTCTGAAAAGAGGTATTGTAATTATTTACTCTATTTATATTGTAACTATTTACACTATTTACATTGCTCGGTCTGTTGTCTTCTTCTTTATTGCCATATTCAAGAGGTTTCGGTTGTTTTACACTCTGGCCTTCTTCAGGAACTGCCCATATACCTGAAAAGAGGTATTGTAATTATTTACACTATTTATATTGCTCGGTTTGTTGTCTTCATTTTTATTGCTACATTTACGACGTTTTGACCGTCGTACATTCAGGAGTTCTTCAGATGATATTATAATCTACCCATGTAGACCAAGGAGTTCGGTTCGAAATTCCAGCAAATATCACCTGAAGAACGTCGGAGCGTGCAACGGTCGAAACATCGTGAATGTGACAATAAAAATGAGGACAACACCTCGAAATAAGTAAATAGTGTAGAACTTACTATTTTCAGTAGTTTTAAGTAAGCAGATTATTTTGAATTATTTAAATAGTTTCATTCGTTTTTTCAGCTCTAT